GGAAGGCACAAATATTGGGAAAATATACAATAACCTACCCTTTAAAGCATAGATTCATTATGGCACCAACAACCTAGCATGAACATGTAGTTTAGAATGAGAAAAAAGGGCTTAAAACTGTAAATGTGCTTTCTTATCATCTACAGCTGTACTTGCTGTGTCTTGGAAATGGAAAGAGAAGTATAAAAGATTTTCACACACATTAATAATCCCTGAGGGTCCTTAGCCAAACAGTCTTGAGCTGGGATCTATAGTTTACTGTAGCCCATGCACTTCCAAAAATTTTCTTGAGGCTGATTTAATACTTAGATCCTGGAGTTTCAGATTTTTATTAAACCATGTTTTATGCAGTTTATCAAATAAGGTCATAAAAATGTTCAGATACACAGAAAGGTGTAATATTTTGAATAGTATCTAGGGCTGAGAAACAAAACTTCCTAAAAAAAACTGGTGAATATGAGGTACAAGGTTGTAAATATGAAATCTCTAGACCGTAGTACTGCATCTTGCACAAGGTTATTGCCTAGGAAATACTTGTTGGACTGACAGAGGATGAATATTTTCATTAGTAAGTGAGCCCTATGTAAAAGCAGTATTCTTAGTAGTAACCTATTCTATTCTCCCAGGACTAGAGGCATCACTTAGTCCAGGAGTGCCAGATGTCATCATTCAGTAAAGTATTCAACACTCTACCTACCTGAATATTCATGAATCCAGATGCCAAGGACATGTCAGATTATCAATATTCCTGTGAAATTGTGTAGTGGAAACTGTTCAATGTACATTTGGGGAAAAGCCAGTTCCAGGCCTGAATTTCTGATTTTACTCAGTAGTTAGCTGCAGGCCCGTTGTCTTGCTTAGCACACAGTTTCTTATTAACACTGGGAAGTTTAGGTTGAATCTTGATTTGCTTCTCTCCCATAAAGCTTTATTTGGATATCACAGCTGCCAAGAGAGATATCACCTACCCCATTCTCAGCAAGACATCCTGTATAGCTTTCCCATCTTAGATAACTTATCCAAGGTAAAATTTATCTCCAGAAGCCATTCATTTGAATGAATGTCTAAGAAACTATTAAGGAACAGATTCTTGCCATAAAAAGCTTAATGTAAAGACCCATTAGTGAATGATTTGCAGTCTTATCTACTTATAGTTCAGTCATATATACTTGTAGTTCAATTCCATACTGGACAAAGATTTGATATTCCTTATGTATCTATCAAATTGTCAAATGCACACTTAGAAGAATAGAATACTGAATTGAACTGAAGAAAGCAGAAACTGTTTTTGTGGCCACACTGTTCAAAAGCTTCTTATTGCATTTAGGATAAAATCTTAGCTCTTTACCATGGCACACAGTCCCACATGATGTGGCTTCTCTTGGCTTCCTCTCTTGTCTGCTCTCCACCCTCTTAGTGATGCTGCAACCACATGGCCTCCCTCTCTTTAGGACATACAGAGTCGAAGGTCTTGCCTTAAGACTGTCTCACATAGTGCTCCCAGTCCCTCTAAATCCTTTCTGTAATCCTCTCCTTCCCCAGATCTTCCTGTCACTGGCTCTGCCTCATTTAAAGGCCTTAGCCACATTTTCTTTCACCTTCCACCCTGATACACTTCTCCTAAACACCCAGTTTAAAGGGTCTTTATAGCATGCCAATCGCTCTCTAGCATCTCTTCTGTTTAATTCCTTTCTTTTTCTTCATAACACTTATTATGACCCAAAGTAACTTTGTTTATTTGTCAGTTTTCTGTTTCCACCAACTGGACTGAAACCACATTAAAGGCAGAGACCTTGTCTGTCTTATTCCTCACTTATATCTGGCACTTAGTGCCTGGCACATAGAAGGGGCTCAATACATATCTATAGACAGACAGAAACCAAAATGGATAAAAAAATCTCTGTTGTGGGTAATTGGATCCTAATGTTGAGCCTGTGAAGATAGGACTTCAGAATCCAAGAAGGACAGTCTACACTCAAACCATGAGGGCACAACGCCCAGCTCTAATGTCCACAAGTCACCTTCTGACCGGTTCATCTAACCCAAGCATGTCAAACTTACAGCCAGCGGGCCACATACCTCATTTGAAACCCAACCAGTCTCTGCTTCTCTTGCCCTATTTATCACTCAGATCAAGCCTTTAATCCGGCCTCTCCTATAATTCCTCTTGGATATTCTGGAGACAGCACATGAAAAATGGACTCTGTCCACGAGAACCAACACACAACCACTCTTTCACCAAAGCTCCATTTAGTCTCCTGTGTGTTTGAACTGGCTGTTTGTCAGGGTTCAGGATACTGGTCACTCTCAGAACAGGAGCTTTGCATCCAATTGTTATAGTTGCTTGTGTCTTAATCAGTAGCTGTTTTAAGTGGTTAGAGCTGCATAATATTTGGCTTAAACCACTGGCATCAGTGGAAGGAAAATGGGAGGATGGGAGGTCAGTCACTCTGTGGTTGGAATAAAAATATCTAGGTCCTGCCCTAACTGGTTTGGCTCAGTGGATAGAGCGTCGGCCTGCGGACTGAAGGGTCCCAGGTTCGATTCTGGTCAAGGGCATATACCTTGGTTGCGGGCACATCCCCAGTGGGGAGTGTTCAGGAGGCAGCTGAATTGATATTTCTCTCTCATCAATGTTTCTAACTCTCTATCCCTCTCCCTTTCTCTCTGTAAAAAATCAATAAAATATATTTTAAAAATATATATAGGTTCAGTGAGGCTGAAATAAATGAGACTGTGACGGGATGAGTGTGCAGAGCAACTGAGGAACTGGGGAAGGGTGGTTATGATATTTGGCAACAATCAAGGAAAGAAGAAGAAAAGTGTGCAAAATAGATGGGAGAAACAAGGATCCACTAACCAAAAATCACATGACTTGATGGATAACACTACTTCATTTCACTGGAAACTATTTTATGGTAGGCAAGCCTTGAAGTGAGAGTGGTTGATTTTTTGTTCTGTGTAATCAAAACATTTTGACATTATACCCACAAAGGATGTGGAATCCCTGACCCCAGCTGCTGTGTATACCAACTATCAGTATCATAAAGGTGACCTTTCATACTTCCACATGTCTTCAGAGCTAATATCTGCATGTAACTTAGTGATTCAACTATGATGAGACAATAGCAACAAGTGCAAAATAATGTTTGTTTTTGTTTGTTCTAATGCCTTTTTTCCCCTTTTCTTTCTTTTTATAACCTCTTTAAGAGAACCTGATGGTCAGAACCTCAAGTGTGCTTGTTCAGTTATTGTGACATGTTTATCTGTTTCCCATGAGCAGGAGACAAGAGTGTTAAGTGTTAAACATGTAAGGGAATGTTTTCTGACCCCAAAGTGGGATGCCTGTATTCTCCTCACTCTGTGCCGTGGAAACAGGAAAGGAAAGCCATCTGTTCCCCATCCAATAATTATGTCTTCTTGATCTACCTCTTAAAATTACATAGTTATTAGAAGGCTCTGCCATCCATTTCCTGTTTACTAAGACACCTGTCATATGAGCTTTGCATTCTGAATCAATCAATAACTGCTAGTCTATGGGAAAACAGACACAGCTTTTCTGGATCATTCTCAAAGATTGACAGTTGAGGAGTCAAAATTGCTAAATTCTTATCTTGTCTTTATCATTCACATTCAGTGATCTGTAAAATGGTAATAGTATCATCTACCTTGTGGGGTCGTTGTATGGCTCAGGTGAATTAACATACATAAAGCACTTAGAAAATAATAACCATGCTGTGAATATAAGCAGGAATTAAAGAAGCTTCCAACTGATATATGGCAGTGGTCTCTATCAGAAGTTCATACAGCCACATTCATCAATTAAGAAGCTTCTTCATGCCCAGCTGGTGTTGCTCAGTGGTTGAGCATTGACATATGAACCAGGAGGTCACAGTTCAAGTCCCAGTCAGAGCACATGCCTGGGTGTGGGCTCGATCCTCAGTAGGGGGTATGCAGGAGGAAGCTGATTGATGATTCTCTCTCATCATTGATGTTTCTATCTCCCTCTCCCTTCCTCTATCTGAAATCAGTAAAAACATTTTTTTAAAAAAAGCAGCTTCTTCATGAGTTGGTAAATCATTTACACACATTTTGTATGGACTATGTCACCTATTCCTAGGTCAGAAGTTATATAGTGCTTTTCTAACAATTATGAACTTTAGTTCATAATACCAGGGTGCAAAAAATGGCACATACATTTGTTCTAAATAAAATTTAATCTGTTTCAATCAGGATGGTAGAAAATAAAAATTCAGGCATTTGAAATATTGGTAGGAAGCAATGGGAGAGGAAATCTCCCACCTCCCTGCTATCATTCAAGAACTATGAGAATGTTAGGCAGTCTAGAACATTTGGAGTGTCTTTTTGTCATTGGTCAACATGGATCATCATTGTTATGTTCATTGTCCAAGCACACTCATGCCCTTAAAGGTGGGCAGCCTACTACTTCCATAGCAACGTTGGGTTCTAGGGATTTTGATAAAGCTGGGTGTCCTCATATATCTCAAACGATCTCCTTGGGAATACCAGACAACCAATGCCTTCTATGTTACTGCCATCGCCCTGGGCCATTGGAAAGGATGAGGCCACTGATCGTGGCTACAGTTGTCTAAATCAGCAGTCGCCAAACTTTTGGACCTCATGGACCACCAGCGGTCCATGGACCACCGGTTGGCAACCGCTGGTCTAAATTGAACCTAGGAAAATGGAAATTTTGTATTTTGAATATGAAGTCATATTAGTCCTTCTATTTCATAAATTTATTGAGCCCTTTCCTAGGTGTTTGGGGGTTTACAATGTCTCTGGCCTTAACAATCTAGCAGACGTCAAATTTTTTTTGGTCAAGTTTATATAATTTAATCCTTGAGTCAAGACCATTCTCTGTGGTGAAAACACAGGACATGTTACATATTCCTGTTTGACAGTTGAACCAACTGAAGCTCAGAAAGGCAAACGTGATTCACTGAGGATCGTATCCAGTCAGAGGAAGTGCTAGAAGTACAGCTGAAGATTGAACCTCTGTACTCTTTACATTACTCCACTCTGATCCAGGAAGGAACCTTGAATAGATTTGGTCTATCAGCCAGTAGGTGGGAACAATTTGAGTGTGGGGGATCCTTCCCTAAAGTGATAAAATAAAGGGGGTTTCCCAGCTTCACACCTTGTAAGCATGGCACAGCATGTCTGAGAGGCTGCCACATTATGGTATGGGGGTAGACAGCTCTCAATTCAAATACTAACCCCCAATAGTCTAAATGTGACTAATCGCCATATGCCTCCATTTTCTGGGTCGCTCTGATGACCTACCTTATAGGACTGGTGGAAGGAGTGAGTGAGATGGTGATATAAAATGTACAGTCCTGTGCCTGGCACCCTTACCTACAGGAGGTGCTCCAACAACATTGATTCCTGTGTGTGGTGTAGTGATGACCATAGCTATCTTCTAAAAACATTAATCCCTCCTCACCAACAAACACACATTTTACTCAGTTTGTGCATTCAAAAAAAAAAATGTATCCAGTACCTACTAAATGGGAGTCTCATTGCTGGGAAGTAGGTATACAAATGTAAGTCATGTCTAAACCCTGCCTCAAGGAATTTGCCTTCTGTGGCACTTGGTAAGGCCTTTCTCCTCCTAAACTCTTCGATTTTTAGGGAGGGAAGGAGGCTGGGAGATAGGTACTCAGGAGCAGTCCTTCTCCACTGCCAGTTCAAGAGGTGCAGAGGGAATGGGAGCAAATTCTCTTTGGGATTTCAGGCCCTCAGGCCGAGTGGTGGGCTTGAGACAGAAAATGGGATGGTGCCTGCTCCTCTTATGCAGCTGAGAGAGTCGCGTCTAAAGGGGGCTCTTATTTCCAGTCTTTTGTTCCCTGACATTTTCAATTTCCATCACATGAGCATTTGCCAGTCATCTGCTTTGCCTTTATCTCAAAATTAATTTCCTGGGAACATCTGGCCCGAACTACAAGGCTGCCCTTCCCAATGGGCTGTTCCTCATGTGGTGGAGTTGATGACCACACTCCTTTTGCCCTGATGTGCAGTGAGGCATGGGGCCTGAGTGGCTCATGTCTGTCCAAGTCCCCTTCTCTGAATGCAGAGATACTTCATACTTCACTTGCCTTTTTAAAAAATCCTCACCTGAGGATTTTTTAATTGATTTTTTTTCAGAGAGAGAGGAAGGGAGAGAGAGGGAGAGAGAGAAACATCAACGGTTGCCTCCTGTAAGTGCCCCGACCCAGGATTGAACCCACAGCCTGGGTTTGTGCCCTGGCCAGGAATCAAATCCACAACCTTTTGGTGTATGGGGCGACACTCCAGGCAACTGAACCATTCATCCAGGTCCTTCACGTCCATTTTTACTTCAAATTAAACTAGCCAGACTTATGGTAGAAGAAGGTGCTGAGATTCACTGGGACATTTCTCTTTCTTTCCTCCAGAGAGTTCAGGCAAGGAGTTCCAAATGGACCTCAGAAGGACTCTTTCTAATTCACTGTGAGCACCCAAAAAAAGTGACAATAAAGTATCAAACAGTAAATACTGGTGATACTGGTGTGTGTGTGTGTGTGTGTGTGTGTGTGTGTGTGTGAGAGAGAGAGAGAGAGAGAGAGAGAGAGAGAGAGAGAGAGAGAGAGAGAGAATTAACAGGGATCATGATTGCCCTGTTTCAGAGTAAAGCCATTTTTACTCAAGAAATTTCAGAAAGTACTCCAAAATAAATGTGAACACATACACTCTGAGCAACCAAAAGCATTTTCTCAGACTACATGTCTCCTGAGGAAAATGTGGAGTTTTTGCTTCTGGCCAGACTGGAACCTGTCCCTATGCCCACCTCACTTTGCCAAAGCTTTGATGCTAAAGAAACACTTCGCTATTTCAAACTCCAACCCAGAATAGCAGACATTGTGGTGGATGTGTTTCACTTTCATGATATTTCTAATTCACACCCACTCTCTCAAACCGCACTCAGTACGAGGTACATACCACAGTCCATTCCCATTTTTCTGACCACCAGCCCCAGCCCCCACCCTACAAGTCATGAGCCGGACTTTTTTGTTTCCATCAAACTTCCTCCCCATTCACCATGCTGCAAGAGCTCTTAAAACTTCAAATCTTCTCCAAACCATTTCCCACTTAAACTGGCAGCGAGATGGCCTTTTCTCAGCTTCAGAGTTCCAAGGTAAAACTCACAACTTCACCACATTGCAAATGACAACAACTAGGACCCTTTGGATGTAAGCATTACTTTCTCAAGAGCTGAAGCCTTTTTACCAACCATCACATGTGTTGTCGTAGCATTCTACTCACTAAAAATAAGAAGGTATTGTTTCTCATTCGGCAAACAGCAAAACTGGGATCCCTCAGCATGATCCAGGAGGAGGCAGGGCAGGGAGAGAACCTGCAAATTCTCAAAAATAATGATCTATGTGTCCCAGGCCCAAAGTTTCCTTGGATTCTACGGGATCTCAGTTTTCACTGCTCCACATGATCATGGAATTTTCTTTGTTCTTATTCTCAAATGGATGTTAAAAATTATTTTAAAAGATTCCATCCTCCCAATCATATATCCATTTCCTTCCAAACACATATTTTCCCCACCAGACTGCTAGGGCAATGCCTGAAGTTCTGACCATGGGGGTTGGAGGTGAGTGGAATTTCCTGCTTTCTCCTCCTCTGCCCTCTTACTCTGCTCCTAGCAATGAAGGAAACTGATATTTTTTCATTGTCTAGTGCATGATATACCTGGTATTTAATTTCATTTAGTATTTATAACAGCCTTCCGTTTTTACTATGGTATTATCTCCCCTCAGAAGGACTGAATGCTTTCTCTGTATCTCACAGTGTACAAGATGCAGGGCTGAGCTGTGAACCCCTGGACTCTCGTTAGTTTCAAAATTTATACATTACTTCTGCTTTTTTCCTTTCAAGTTTGTTCCTGATGTTCATTTTAAATATATGTAGGACATACTAATCTCCTTTGGATAGATGCTCAAAAATGGGATCAATGAGTATTTTTATCCTGGCTTTTAATTTTTTTGTTTTGTTTTGTAATTTCCTAAACATTAAGTTGGTTGAGTTCTTACTCCAGAGGCTGGGACCAAGATGAAAGTCAGGAGTCTGACTTATTTCTTTAGGAATGTATTCAAATCATACAAAGCTATTCATTGACTTGGCCTTTCTCTACCAAAGACCTTAATTTAGAATGGTTTGATTTTATTACTGATGATTGGGAGAGTTTATTGCATAGGAATAAACTATATGATCCCTTGGAGAAATATGAAAGTCATCACCAGCTGAAGTGATCCATGAATAAAATGAGTGAAAAGCATGCTAGAGAGGAAGAATCTATAAGAGAGATTATTGTTGGAGATAATAACATGTCTTAGGCTAGATGTCATTTGGTCCCTGAACTTAAAAATAAATCTTGTTTTTCTCTCAATCTGACACATAATCATTTCAGAAAAAAATATGTATAGACTAAAAAACAAATTAAACACACATAACTCCATCCACCCAGATCTAATGACAATAGACACCCTGATCTATGAACTTCCAGTACTCTCCTCTATAGACGTAATTTACAGAAATAGAATCATACATCTTTAAACTTGCTTTTCTCATTAAATATTATGAATACCTATTGATATCAATAAGGAACCATTTATAGCATAATAATTAAGACCTTCTAGTATGATATTATGTGCCATAACTTCCTTAACCATCCTTTACACAGTGAGACAGTTTCTAACTTCTCAATTTAAAATAATGATACAACCCTAGCCGTTTTGGCTCAGTGGATAGAACGTCAGCCTGCGGACCAAAGGGTCCCCAGTTCAATTCTGCTCAAGGGCATGTACCTGGGTTGCAGGCTCCTCCTCAAGCCAGAAGCCTGGTCAGGGCTCCTGCAGGAGGCAACCAATCGATGTGTTTCTCTCACATCGATGTTTCTTTCTGTCTTTCCCTCTTTCTTCCACTCTCCCTAAAAAAAAAATCAATGGAATAAAATCGTGATAGAGTGACTGCCATACAGATGCCTTTAAATGAGGAGAGGGGCAGGGAATGAGAGATAGCAACACATGTCTGAAAGTGGAATTGTTTATTAAATTAAAGGTATTAGAAATGTCAAAGGTTTTGATAGATTTTCCCAAATTATTTTTCTGGAAATTATACTGACATACAGAGCAGTGTATAACTGTGTTCATTTCCCTAAATCCATAGATTGATGGAAATGCATGCCATTGTATCTTTCTTAGTATGCATTTTTTGATTAGCAATTATGTTGAATAATTTTTTCTATTGCCAATATGTAGTTTTTAATTTTGTAAGTTACTTATCATTTTTTTTTGCCCACAATTTTCTACCCTGGTATTAGTTATTCACTTACTGAATTTACAAACTCTTGTTATTTAAATATACAAGCTGTCCCAAAAAATGTATACATGCTTTGAATAATGATTAATTCTAATGGGTTAAATCTGAAAAGAAATAAACATTGGAATTAATAATTATTCAAAGTTTATATACATTTTGGGGATCACCCTACATTCTAATTTATGTTGCAAATATTTTTTCCAATTTGTTGTTTTTGCCTTTTAATGTTTTTATAGTGTTTGATGTAGCAAACGGAAATTTTACATTTCATGGTATTTCTTTATTTGACTTTTCCCTTTGGTTTTTGAGGTCTTTAAATCAATTTTTGAAAGTCCGACCGATAATACAAAAGATCTCTAGAAATTAATTCAGAATTTTCATGCATCTCTGCTTAGATACTGATTCTTAAACCATGCTTCCATGGAACACTATTTTTCCACAATTTTATTTTAGTCAAGATGTTGTGCCACTAAATATGAATAATATCAGTCTTTCCAACTTTTTAGAAAACTTAATTTAATGGGATATCTTTCAATTCCAAGGTTTCCAAACACATTTTTTAAATATTTGGTGCTGATATTTGCCTTTATTACTATCTTATAAAATCTGGTGTCATATTATATATTCTGTTATTTTAGATTTAATATGTTGATATTAAATGGTGTTGTACAAAGATCACTATTACTTCCAGATGTTCTACCAACTGACAAGTTGAAGGATCTCTAGTGTATGGTATATGTTTGCTGTAGTTAAAAACTGAGAGGGAAATAATATTCACAACACATTAAAATTGGAAAACTAAAGACTAAGAATTCTGTTATAACTGCTAATCGCTCTCCCTCTTTTCTTTAATATCCCATGCCTTGATTACAGAGATCACTGAAAAATGTATTCATTGAATCTCATTGCCACATTCTTGTGAAATTAGAATTTTCTGATGAGCTCAAATAACTTTTCTAAAGGAAAGATGCCTTTTTAAACTACAAAAATTATTATTGACATTAGAAGTATAAATGGGACAAGAACACTTCTTTCTTTCTTTTTTAAATCCTTCCAGAGGCAGTCTTTATTGCTGTACTGGGTCTGTGAAGAATATATACTAAGGCACCTCTTAACTGTCACTCACAAATAGAAGCTTTGAAAATATGCACCTATAAAATGCATGCATTTCCTGAACTGGTAGCTGCTTTATTCAACAGACCATTAAAAGCCCATTTAGAGGTCCTCTCACAAGCTCATGTGCACTACAGGTACTAAAAGCTGGTGAACCCAGGATGGTAAGAAACAAAACAAAACAATAAGTTGGACCAACATCCACTAAAATTTACAGACAAAGAAAGCTCTCTCCCCAAACCTAAATTTCCTCCAACACTAACACTCTCATAAAGAGCAGGTAATGTGACAAAATCGACCCACTTCCAATCTCCCAACCAAAGTCCAACACTCCTCCTGCCCTCCAAGTATCAATCATCAGGAAGGCAAGGCAAATGAACTTTTAATCAATAACAGCTACTGTTTCTTGTACCGGGACTGTTTATGATTTAAAAGGAGAAAAAAATTAAATTGATCCTGATGTGAATGTTTTCCCTCTTGAAGAGAAAAAAGCAACACCCTGTGTCAAAAAAAAACCCGGGGAATGTATTTTCACATGTTTATAAAATATATTAGAAGAAAATAAATTTGAAATTGTTTTTGTCCTTATTAGCTATAGACAGAAGAGTAACCGCATAGGATGCTACAGATGATGTCATGTTAAACAAATGCCTTCAGTCTGTGCCTTTGCACCATTGTATTTCCTGGCATTTATCCATTGCTATAGATCAATAGAGCCAGAAGGAAATTTAGTGAACATCTGTCCAGAGATGGCTAACTTGGGAGCCCTGTCACTGGAACTGTTTAGGCAAGAAGATGAATCAGATGGGAAGTGTAGCGGGAATTCATACAACAGAAGGGCTTTTAGAGCATATTAGTGGGTGAAAATGATTGTATATGGGAGGCTGATATGTAGAACTTACAGTAGTAGGTCTGATCTGGCTAAAGGTACTTGCTCCTTTCCTTATCCATATCCAAAAGGCAAGCCTTGCCTGGAATCTCCAGGATTTTGCTGAAAAAGTTTGTAAACTCCAGTATAGGATACCTTGAAGGCCACCTGGGTGTTCTAATTCTTCCCTCAGTGTTCCTTCCATTCCTCTAGGCTCCGTCCATATAGGTCCAACTCGGCACCCCAAATCTTATACTACTGGTAGTCAGGTCTTCCTACATCTTGAGTCTCACTTTAGCCAGGGATAAATCAAACTGGACCCTTTATGAAGCTTGCTGTATTATTTTGGCATGTTTGCACAAACCAGACTTAAACGAAGCCCTCTTTCCCTTGATTGGGAAAAGCTACACAGGCTTTTGCCCATTCTTAAAGAGTGATGTGATTGGTGGAGGTGAGGTAGGTAGGGAGGATGATCATGGGAGTGCTTTCTTAACTGTTTTCTTTTAGTGTGCTGAAAAGGAACAAATCAATCCTGTCTTGCTTATTTATAAAACTTTAACACCAATGGTGTGGGGAGAATTAATGAGACCAGGCACGAGGAATGTGGAAATTTTCATTTCTAAACTTCTGGCACACAGACATGCATTAATGTCTTGTAGCTTTTCAAGGGCATTGAAGCAATGAGTTTTTGGCCTCTTACAACTTTGGGTGGAGAACTTGCATTTGCACACGATGACTCACCACTGTCACTGGCATCCAGGGGAAGGACCCAGCAAAGAAGCCCACAAATTTGAAGAAGCAAGATACTGCACCCTCACATGTACCTGTTAAAGAACATAATGATAACTGTCGACCCGCAGAAGGGAAAGACCATGTGACTTACAGGGTGCACTTAATCTTCATACCACCTCTGTGAAGTGAAAACTTTCTGCACATTACAGATGAGGAAATTGACTCTCCAAAGGATCAAATGACCTATTAAAAGAAGCATAACTCATAATCAAGCGAGCCAAGGTTTAAATTCAGGTCTATGTCTAAATCCCAAGTTCTTCTCATTTTTCTGAGAAATACTTTCCTGGGAAGTGGAGAAGGAAGTTAAATCTATATTAATTACCATAGTAATCATCAGTGTATAATAAAAGGTTTGATGTCTGTCAGCCACAGTAACCATGCTGCACATCAGTGTTCTTCTGCTCTGGAACCCACTTATGAATAGCTGATATCCTCAAAACTCCTTGAAGACCTGACCACTGTCATCTCTGCCAGGATAAAATTTACAGGATGGTCACAATAATCACTTGCTACAGTTCCAGAAGGTGTATCCCAGAATGCTTTGCAGACTTGCACCAACTCTCATACTGCAAATATGTGTCCTTTCCACTGTCTTTCTGATGCCATGTTTTTAGCATTTTGTACTTTTTGTTGGTGATTTCATCTGCTTAAAATGGTCCCCAGGCACAGTGTTGAAATGCTGTCTAGAGTTCCTGAGCATAAGAAGGCTGTGATGTACATTATGGGAAAATATGCATGTTAGATAAGTTCCATTCAGGCAGGAGTTGCAATGTTGGCTGTGAGCTCAATGTTAATAAGTCAACAATATATAGTAAGGTGTCTTTAGATAGAAACACACATAAAACAAGATTGTTTCCATTAGCTGACAGGTAATGAGGGGAAGACTTCTGTTCTGTCAGTAGCTGGGTCAGTGGGCCAGACACAGAAGTAGCTTCACACTCCTGAGTTCTCCGGACTTGGTTGTCACATTGTTTGGGGAAGTTTATGAAGCTGCTTCATCTGCATATTTCAGCATCTGTGAGATGGAGTTGTAATTTCACCCAACACAGGGGAATTGAGGGGATTACTACACAGCTGTAAGTTAAGGTTTTGAAGAAAGTCTGCTTTTTTAGAATCAAGAGACTATAAAATAACAAAATTTTTTATTATTAATGTACAGTTGATTCTCATTATTCATGGATTCTGTTTTTACAAATTTGGCTACTTGCTAAGATTTCTTTGTAACTTCTAAATAAATATCTGTGCTGCTTTCATAGTCGTTTGCAGACATGTACTGAGCAACGAAAATTTGAGTAGCTTTGTGCACTCATTCCCAGCTGAGGTCAGACAAGGTGGTGGGTACTCTGCCTCGTTTCAATTCTCATACCATAAATATGTGTCCTTTTCACTGTCTTTCTGATGCCATGGTTTTTGCATTTTGTACTTTTTGTTGGTGATTTCACCTGCTTAGAATGGTCCCCAAGCACAGTGCTGAAATGCTGTTTAGAGTTCCTGAGCACAAGAAGGCTGTGATGTATATTTTGGAAAAACTAGAGGCCCGGTGCATGAAATTCGTGCGTGGGTGCGGTCCCTAGGCCTGGCTGGCGATTGAAGTACGAGTGTCTGGTGTGGAAGGGCAGGTCCAAGCTGACCTCTGGGCCCTAAGCAGCATCTGGGCCCCTGAGCGCCATGCGCCACCCTCTGCCTGAGTCATCAGGCCCCCACCAGGCTCCCTCAGCGCCTGGGAGCCGGGCGGCGGCTCGGCCCCTTTGCAGCTACCACTGGTCGCCTTCTGCAGGGCGATCGGGCCCTGCTCGCACCTGCCTTGGCCTGGCGCCTCCCATTCACCTGTTCCACCATCCTGTCATGGTCCCACTCTTGTCAGGGCTCATCAGGGCCAGCAGCGCCTCCACTGCTGACCGCTGCGTCACCGAAGCCCGCCATGTTATGCCCTGCCCCCTCGTGGTCAGTGCCTGTCATAGCGAGCAGTCGAACTCATGGTTGAACTCGCAGTCGAACTCCCATTCAAGGAGACAATTTGCATATTAGACTTTTATTATATAGGATAGGATATGCATGTTAGGTAAGTTTCATTCAGGCAGGAGTTACAATGTTGGCTGTGAGCTCAATGTTAATAAGTCAACAATATATATTAAGGCAGCGGTTCTCAACCTGTGGGTTGCGACCCCTTTGGTGGTCGAACGACCCTTTCACAGGGGTCGCCTAAGACCATCCTGCATATCAGATATTTACATTACAATTCATAACAGTAGCAACATTACAGTTGTGAAGTAGCAACGAAAATAATTGTATGGTTGGGTCACAACATGAGGAACTGTATTTAAAGGGCCAGAAAATTGAGAACCACTGTATATTAAGGTGTCTTTAGATAGAAACACACAAATTATGTTTTCATCAGTTGATGAAAATGTTGTGCTCAGAGGCTCACAGGAACCTAACCTTGTATTTCCCCTAAGAGCAATGGGTTACATTTGCTAATTCAGTTTTCCCAGCTACTTAGAAGACATAACTCCTGCAAATAATTAGAATCAGATGTATTTATTGTTGGTTATCCTGACTTTTCTCTTAGAAAAATCACTTCCAGGGATAAAGGAGAGTTTATTCATCATTTCATCCAACTCAATTATTAGAGAAAATGAGAGTATAGAGTTGTGACTTGATCTTGGTTTCTAAGCAAGAATTAGGCAGAACTTGGATTAGAACCAGGTGTCTTGGTCCTCAAGCCCATCCCTAGACCACCAGACCACACTGGTTTTCCTATGTAAGCATGGGGAAAGGGACTACTTTGGAAGATATAGGTTAGTGGGGCGACATAAAAGAATGGTTTCCCACGTGGCTTGTGCTGTAGCTTCGCGTCCAGCAGTGTTTATTCCTTTAGTGATGTGAAGATAGTAGAGTGCATCTCGCAGGTACCAAAGCTTGAAGAAACAGGTGCTGTGCATTATATTGTGGGCAGCGTTTTGATATGTGGCAAAAGCCCTCTGAACAATATCAGGATGGAATGAGATCAACATTTATAGGAAAGAAAATTGTTTTAAAATCTTCACTGTTATCCTAGGCATCTTTTGTTTGAGATTAAGCTAACCAATCTTGGAAGCAGCTAATAAAGCTTTGTTCTTTGATACATTTTCCTCTGTATTCTTGAGGAGCAAGCAGAAGTCATTTTAAATTGAGGCAAGAGAGATTTGGGTAACACTTAAGCCAAACTAGGGGACTATGAGAAAGATGAGCACAGGGAGTGACATCCTAGAGATCTTGGAGAAACATAGAAGTGACCGCTTTTCTTGAATGATGTCATTAAATTGAGTGAACACTTGAGGATCTACTGAGTGCTAAGCATTTTGCTTTGTGCTCTAATGCTCATCTCTTGAGGTCTCTGTTATGATAAAACCATTATAATCCCCAAATTTATTTTCATTGCCAATCAGTTTGTCCATTATGCAATAACAACAATAAATAAGTATAATCTATTCAAAATCATAGTCTGTTTTTTAATATAATGGCTTATGTTTTAAATTACATTTTCCAATTATGGTTGACATTCAATATTATTTTGTATTAGTTTCAGGTGTACAGCATACTGGTTAGACAGTCATATACTTTAGAAAGCAATCCCTCAATAAGTCCAGTACACACCTGGCACCATACATAATTTTTGTAATATTATTGACTATATTCCCTCTGCTGTACTTTTACATCCCCAAGACTATTTTGTAATTACAAATTTTTGCTTCTTAATCCCTTCACTTTTTTTCACCCGGTTCCCCAAACTCCCTCCCCTCTGTCCAACATCAGTCTGTTCTCTGCATCTAAAATCACAGCCTATTTTGTCTCTAATCTTTTTCTTGGCACCTTTCCTTTTTTTTCCCCTCAGTATATACTTAAAAATATCTTTCCTAGAAATACAAAGAGCCAAAAAATTCCAAGTGGCTTCTCAGTATAGAAAGTTAGTGTCTGAAGGTGAGAGCCTGCAGTCCAGCTCCTTGGGCCAGGTCTGGAGCCAGATCAACCTGATGTGTCTCTTGGCACATGGACACTTCTGTTTATTGCCCCAGGGCAATCATGAAGTAATGTAGCTATAAGTGGAAGGCAAAAATAACCCAATCTGTAAGTGTGCAGAAAAAGTGTGGGGTAAAGTTAGAGCAGAAGCTTGCATTATTTTATCATCAAGTTTTCTTCTAGTCAAGTACAATTTGTCAAACAGCATTAACTACCAAATGCCACTGGCATCACTTTGTCAGCAGATTTCAATCTTCTGCGGAAAAAAACAAACAGAGAGAAGGAGAAAATTATCAATGAGCACTTACTATGTGTCACATACTGCTCCGGACTCTTCTATATGTTATCTTATTTAACTGTCATAGAAAACAGTCCAGGTAAATGTTTTAATCTAAATTTTATAGGTAAAGAAATGAAAACAACGAGATGATGTAATTTTTCTAAGGTCAATAAGTAATGGAGCCAGCATTCATATTCAAGGCTTGATCCAATTACCATCCTCTTCTCATCTTATCACATGGCCTACCCTTGTTTATCAGAGTTTTCTATGTAAGGCATGGAAATCCCAGGCTTTTTTCTCACTGTGTCATCCACAGACCATGTGTGTCAGAATCACCTGGAATACTTATTAATGATGCAAATTCCTGGACTCCATCCCTGCACAATGGGTCAGAATTTCAGTGGGTGAGGTCCCAGAATCTGCTTTGTTAACAAGCTTCCCAAGCAATTTTTATGTACTCTGAAGTTTGAGAGACAATGGTTTACATACTCATACACATCCAAAGGGGTGGAGTAATAAATATCACAAAACCTGCACCAAAGATACTAATGTTCATGGCAGGTGCTGTCAGTGCCCTGCTCATATCCCTGCAGCCTCAACCAGTATCAATCAAGACAGCCAGCTTCAACTGTGTCTGTGTGACTTGCCCTTGGGGATTTCTTCCAAGCCTCAGGTGGGGTTCTGCTTGTGTACATGGTAGACCAGAAGTACCACTTCTGGAATTAACTACTACCCAACTCCATCCCCTCTGCCACAGTTTCTACCCAATGATTGGGCAGAGTGAGTGTCTAAATTCTCCAGCTTGCTGACTTTTTGGATAGATGATTCTGAGGCTTGTGTTCTGTACTGTTTTCCAGAAATCTGCCACGAGATTAAGTTCCAGTCTTCCGTGGTGATAGCTGGGTTTATATATCACTCTTTTTTGCAGTATTCTCTTTCTTGTCTTACTCTCCCACTTTTTTACCAATATTTCCTGCTTGCCCTTTTATTTTCACTTGAACCCTGGTATCTGGGTCTGCTTCTGGGGAACACCAAACCAGACATTTAACTAAAAACCCAATGGTAGCATTTATCTCTGTCTGTTAGACCATGATGTTTCTCTCCTACCACTTCACTAAGAGAGCTACTCATCTCTGAACTAATTTCTACTATTCTGTGCAGGTGCATATTTAGAAAGTACAAGCCAAACTGTGGAAGTCGCTCTCTGGCCTCTCTTTAGCCTCTCAAATTCAGCCATCCTTCATATTAAAGTGAAGAGTATGAACTCAGTTGGATGTGGGTTCGAATTCTAACTCTTCTGTTTACTAGTGTGATCTTGGCAAATTTCTCAGCATCTTTAGGCTTCCATGTCCTCTTTTATAAAAATAAGAATAATACCTACCTTAATACTTGGTGAGAGGATTAAATGAAAGAACAAATGTAAGGAGCCTGATAGGTTATCAAAGAATGTGTATTTGTTTTTCCCTTCCTCAGGTCTTCTTATTTCCTGAAGGTGTGGTAACCACTTTAGTCCCTGGTCACGTATCTCTCCTTTATTCGAACTTGATGGTTCTTATTGATCATGCCACTCATGTTTCTTGCCATGAAAAATTAACAGCACCTACCAATAGCTAATGTCTAATGTCTGCTCCACACTGTTATAGATTCCTCTATTATAACTTAAATTCATTTATCCTTCTATTATTATGCCTTATGCATAGAGGGTATATGGTAAATATTTTTATTGATTTGTTAATGCATCAGATAATTAGAATCCTCAAGCATAATGATCCATATTTGATCTTAACGTTCCATATCAAGATCGTATTGTTGGCACCAGCCCTCAGCAGTACTAAACTTCTTCTCTGGACCTGGCAGGGGGGAATGAAAATAAACATCTCATTCTCCCAAGGAGGGCTGGAATTCCAGAAAGTTCAGGAAGTGAAGGGTGTAAAGTTTGGCAAGAGATGCTTTTCAGAGCTTCTTGGCAGATATGAAAGCTGTAGACTGACTGAGTCTTGGCTGGAATCTTTCCCCAAGTATGGTTTTTAGGGGAGGCAAGGGGTTTCAAGAACATGGTGGTCTCTCTGCAAACACTGTCACTTGGCTCCTCCCTACTCACTCCTACAGTGGAATCTGGTCCAATGAATAATTATTTACTTATTTTCCACTCATCATGGCCAGTCCTTGCATTATGTTACTGATACTTCTTACTACATTATTGCTATTACTACATTCTGGAAGGCATCCTTAAAGCTCCCTTTTATGTTGTTTGTCAAAAACACATGTAATATCTTTTCTTTTTCAGTCATATTTTCTTCTGCTTCCCCTAATAAGTTATTTTTGCAAAATAATTTCCATGACTTCTATTGAAATTTCAAATCCTACTACTTCCTTTTACAAAGTCAGGTCCATTTGCAACTTGCCAACTTTGTTTTATATTCTGTAATTTCTGGAGACACAACCAAACCACAGTCTTCTTTGAATATGTCGGGGCAATCAAGTATTTAAATTATCACCAATAATAATTATTACCAGTTTTATGAAAGCAACTCTTTGATCCTGCCTCCCTTTGTGCCTCCACTTAAAACTCAACAGACTTTTTAAAATGTTACCTCTTTTCTTCACCATTCCCTTCTTCCTACCTAAAAGTGCTTTTGCCCTTATAAGTTTCTCCTGCCTGTCATTCAAGTTAACCTTGGAGGGAAGTTAACAATTAGTGATTGTTTTTCTTAGGAGGAAAAAAAGTTAATTTTCCATGTGGTCTCAGCCACAATCATTTCACCTTAATGCTTGTATTGAGCGGTAAAAGCGTCCTTTAGTTGTCAGGACAATACATATTCCTGGTCCCACCCAACTTTGGGATCTTCCTGTGACAGCCACTGCATGTGGTATATTGTGTGGATTCTGAAGTAGGTAGAAATAGGCAAGGTAAGAGGACTTCTTGAGGGTTCCCCTAAGTTGTACATGAACCACTCCGAGGTAACAAAGGATATTACTTTGCTTAAAGATCCAGAGAGCTTTTGATGGGGGTTGTAGGACCCAGCCATAGATTTGGCACCCAGCACAACCACAGAGGTTGAGTAATATGAATAGTAGGGCTCTGAAAGAGATGGGCCTGGTTTTAATATCACACTATAGTCTTACAGTCCAGCAAAGTGCAATAAGTGGAGGCTCAGGAAAATATACTACAATCTGGGGAACATATGAAGAATGATCAGGGAGTGATTTATAATGCTCTTCTTGGCAATGATAAAAGTGTTGGGTGAAGAGCAATATAGAGAGGGAATATATCTTGTCCTATTGTGGTCTGTAATTATGTTCTTCTCTTGCAGATTTTAGATTCCAAACCCAGGTGTCAATTATAACGACGGCTTCCATGTTCACTTTAGTGAAGTTCCAGACCTTCCCTAAGTCACTTAATTCTAGAAGTTGTCTAGGCCAAAGAGCCTTGCTTGCCTAAATGAAGCTTGCTCTACTTTTCCACCCTATAATTGTAAAGGCGTTAACATTCCCATCCAACTGCAGCTAAGATATTATTCAGCCACATTGTCTTGGAAACATTCTTCATAAACCTACTAACGATGCATTCCTAAGAAACAAAACTCTAGGGAAGATGAGGTGCACATTCCCTAAATCTTAAACTCCACATCTGTGGTAATGAGAAGAACAACATCTGTATGTAACTCTATTTTTTAAACTCAATCTCAGGGACAAATCAGGGTATTTTTCATTTACAGAAGAAGCAATTTATAAAAATCAACTCTCCCTGTCCTTATAAATAATAGCTTAGAAAAGGAGCAACGGATTTGAAAAGCCACAACCAAACTATCAAGTCTATTAAAAAGATTAGATTTCCTGATCTTAGGGAAAGTGGAATTAATGATCATTCCTCCCATTTTATAAGCTTTCTGGCCATTTAACTCATTAAAGGAAAAGTCATGTTTGTGTTGTAATTTGGTGCATTTTCTCAAGTAATTTGGTACAATGATTAGATCCAAAAGGAAGGAAAATGGACACAATTCCCCTAAGAGAGCTTCTGTTTCTTTGTAGAAATATATGTTTATTTATAAATGTCCCGAGGCTGGGTTGGGTAAAAGCTATGGCTGTCTTAGACTCTTATTTTCGGTCCCATGAACTAGCCCCTTCCCAGCAGACTTTGGCCTTCCTCATGTGGTGCTGCTTGAGATGCCCTCGAAGAGCCACATCCCACCATCAGACAATTCTCAGTCCCAGACTCAGCTAGCCACTGATCATCATCACGTTGAAGAATATGGGGTGTATTCCATCACTTTGGAGGAAAACCATGTGAGAAAATGTTCTGGATGAATTACTAGCATATTCTGGTTTAAAGAGACTACAGTACAGAGAGGGATTGAAGAGGGGCTGTTCCTCCTCTACCTCAGTGGTTCATTTGAGAATTAAATAAGATAAGCTCAGGAAAATGCCCAGCACAGGGTAACTTCTCAGCAGATGCCGGTTCTTTACCTTCCCTCAGAGGTTTGGAGTCTTAGCCAAGAGGTGCCAGTGACACGTGATGTTCAATGTTATTATTTAAACCAAATTTCAGGTGACAGTAGCATTTAAACGTAAAACAATTTTAAAATATTTTTTGGTCTGGTTATAAAAGAAATAGCATGTTTAGTATATAATGTTTGGAGAATCCAGGAAGGTGTGAA